ATAGATTTGATATACTAATATAATTTGTATCTTAAATTGATAAAGATAATGGATTCTATTCATGCAGAGAAGGAACCAAAGGATTTGGATTTTATATCTATTTTGCGATTTCTGGCTGTTAGGCGTTTTCATTAATGCAAATTTATATGTTATATTCAGCAAATATTTATGTATAAATTTCATAAGCATTAATAAGGGGGTCCCTAAGGTAAAGCCTGATATATAAAGGGGTCCTCAAGTCAAAAAGTTTTGAAACCCCTGGATTAGATAATATATACGGTATATACACACATATGCTACATATGAAGACCGAATTTTGAAGCTAATTTTAACGTTGAGCATCATGCAGGAGATATAAAAATAGCGCAAGTACTGCTGGTTCTGGCTACGCCATTGATCTCCTTATATCAATTTACTGTAATCACATTAGCTTCAAAATCAGGTTTTCAAAACTCGCAAGATCCGCGAGTATATACGGTATTTCAAACTAGCCTTACATTCGTCGTTTACACGAAACAAGCACGGTAACCCACTTCAAAAACACATTATTGGAGAGTAAGAAGAAAGCAAACTATCATTCCAGGCGGATGTTTTTCAAGACACTCAAGAGGTAGTAACATAATGAAAAATAAAGAAACATTATACGGAAACATATAACAATCGATTGAAGGACATTCAAGAGGAAATACTTCAAAACTGCGTAATTAAAAGACAACAGTAGACGTGAATATGTTTGGATGAATTTATCAGGTTATTGATACATAGATGAATGTTGCTGTGAACCTTGCTGACTTCGATACTAATGTAAACTCGAGACCGGTTTTCTCATAATGCAATATTACTACTTATTCTCCGCTGGAATTCGTTTAAAAAATAGCCTATTAAGTGGATTTTCAGGAAAATAAAGTTAACCCTTTCATTACTAACGTACTATTTAAGAGAAAAACAAAACAACGCATATCTTACCTAGCGTAAGTTAGTAAATACTTTGCGAAAGAATGTTCAGGTGAGATAACAAAAATACAAATTTAATAAAAGGTAAAATGGTGAGGAAATTTTGAAGAGACTTGATCGCTGACGTCCAGAAGAGACAAGACACATCGAATAAGAAATGTGGAAATATATATTGATTATCTTTTTATTTTCTACTTATATCTGCTACCCATTTTAGCTTTTAAATAAGTTAGAAGTCTGTAATTAATGATGTTCTTTATTATAGTGCAAGTCCGTTAGATTTTATGAAGCATTCTCTTTGTTAACAGAAGGAGGATACATTTGCTTGAACCCCATTCTCATCACTGATCCGAGAAAAACTATATGAATATAGATGATAGTTTATACTACACGGAAAGATTTGGACGCCATAAATGACATCCATATTGTAAACTATAACAACAGATCATATATATATATATATATATATATATATATATATATATATATATATATATATATATATATATATATATATATATATATATATATATATATATAAATTATAAAAAAAAGTCCGACAATTATTTTAAGACACTTTTTATGTTTATACGTTATTTTTATAGATAAAAATGTTTAAGTAAATGCTCTATGACGGTACCGTATGGGATAGAGTTTCGATTCCTGTCAGAGGACGCATATTTTCTATGAAAATTTCTCGGACATTCAGGCCGGTAAATGTCATTAATACTGTTTATTATAAACAGAGCATTTACTTAAATATCTGTATCTATAAATAGAACGTAAAGACATAAAGAAATGTCTAAAAAATAATTGTCAAACTTTGTCCATTTAATAATGTGTGACGTCGTTTCTTTACATTTGGATACGCATCGAGCTGATATGAATGTATGAGAGAAAATCATGGAGAATAATATGTTTAAAAACAGTAAAATCGACCTTGCTAACCGAAATTCTCCTCTGTGGCTAAATCGGTAAAAGCACGTCAGGCTATATGACAGTTCCGTATATGTGTTCGACTAATGTTGGCGGACACATGTTTTCTATGAAAATTTCTCGGATATTCATGCTGGTGACTATCATTAATATTGTTTATTATAAACAGAGTATTTGCTTAGATATTTATATCTATAAAAAACGTAAACACACACACACACACACACACACACACACACATATATATATATATATATATATATATATATATATATATATATATATATATAGGTAATAATGGGCAAGAACTAGAAAACGAATTCTGTCAATATTACTTCCATTTAAGGATGAAAACTAGTGTGATTCTCTTAAAATGCTTCTTCCCATTTCGGGCTTTATACTATTCAATAGCGTCGTTTAATTTACTCAGATGACCACTCATATTTTCAGTAGTATATTTTTTTCCGTTTTCGACCAACAGCACACAATGTACACACAAGCAAATTTAAACCATGAGCAATTTTTTTGTTAGCCGTTACCATCTTTGTGCAGCTTTATACCGTTCTCTCGCATATCATTTCAAAGTTTTCTTGTTTTAACCATTTTCATAAGTTTAGACAGCGAAACACTGTTTACTGTATAATTTCTATTCTCATTATGCGCCGATTGAATGACGTGTTTGTTTAATATTTATATTGAAGACAACTTGTCATTGGATGAAATACAAACATAGGAAACTAACTGAAAATAGTTTTGAAATAGCATTTTAACTGTATTATTTGCATCGGTGTTCAAAACATTTGCACACAAAATCGAAAATTATGGTTAAAACTAAATTAAAAAACAATGTTTCTCAATTTTCCTTTAAATATAGTTCGACAATGTTCATTAAAATACTTGGAGTATTATTCAAAATAAAAAAAAACATCATGAAATTTATAAAAAACAATTTGTAAATTAGTTTTGCTAACCATTTTATATATATATATATATATATATATGTGTGTGTGTGTGTGTGTGTGTATTCAGTTTATTTCAAGGCTTCAAACCGGGTGAAGATTCAGAATATTATATGCTTACAAAATTATATAACTTCTAATGTAAACTTTACCATTTTCGGCTGTAAGATTTCAAGTATTCTGATATTATTAGAAAGGAACTCACTAATATTATTGTTGTTCTTGTGATGCTAGTTAATGCGTTGTCTAAATACATCGTTCAGATATATTTAACACAAAACCACGTAAAATGATGCATTATTTATAAAGCATATAACCCGATTTCAACAATATGTAGTAAAACGAACAGTAGCTGTTTAAATATACAGTTTATATATATATATATATATATATATATATATATATATATATATATATATATATATATATATATATGTATATAGAGAGAGAGAGAGAGAGAGAGAGAGAGAGAGAGAAAGAGAGATAGATAGATAGAGAGATGGATAGATAGATAGATATACATATATGTTTTGGTAAATATTTTTTATTAGACACGCATATGTACATGTAAACGCATATATATATATATATATATATATATATATATATATATATATATATATATATATATATATTGTATCTGTGATTTTTTAAGTTATGGTATATCTATGTGTAAATGTGATCGATATCAGAGATACAGCGTCAGTCAGTATAAAGGTGTGCACTCAGATTAACAGCAAGACTTCTTGAATGCAAGCTTCAGGCCATATGTATATATGTGTGTATGTTTGTGCGTGTATGCGTGCGTATGTGTGTGTGTGTGTGTGTGTGTGTCTGAATATTTGCATCTAGATAAAATACACCTATAAAGATCCGAAAAGCGTAATGTATTGGCAAATATAGGTTTTCCTGTTATCTCTTGTTTCTTTATGTATAAACGTATTTATATGTACGTATAAAATGCCGACGTGTTCAGTACTCGGGACATGTTTATACTTTGAAGAAGAGAGATAGAAAAAAAAATGGCTAAGAGAAAATTAGAATGTTTCAAAAACATATCATTGTAGAAATGGTTACGAAAGAAAAAACATTCAAATTTAGGACCACATAAGACTCATATACAAACCTCTCCTATAGTTACTTTTATTTTAAACCGATAACACGAAATCTTAAAGCTACTAGGCTCTATCAAAACATCCGATTGACGCTCTCTCGTAGCAAATAACATTATACAATTTCACATTCTGTCTTTGCCTTCACGCTATTTATATTGGATGGTAGCATGCTGAGAAACGAATATTTTGAACTTCAGTTTGTCCCCTTTAAAAATAAAAAAAAAGACTTGGTGTAAAAAATAAGTCCTCAAGAAAACTGAATAACATCATGTTGTGTTAATAACAACTGTAGACAAAAATATGTAGGTAATGACAAAAATACTTTAGCTGTATATGGTGTGTAAATTCAAATCATTTTACAACAAGACTAACACTTTTCAGAAAAATAGAAAATATCTGAGAAGATATCGTCATCCGCTGAAGAAGATCGAATGCATCTTCTAAAATATTGTAGACTTTACGTTCAAACTTCTTATTTATATCATTCGTGCTTTCTAATATACCTTGCAAGTTCTGGAAGGATCTGGATTAAGCAAAAATGAAAAGTATCTCCGTATTATTTCGTTATATTTCTGCCATTGATATCGTTGTCCTCTGCTATGATTCGTCTTAGGCATTGCCTGATATTGATACCTTCATATCCAACTGGTGATGATATCTTTTTCAGAATGCTTAGACAATTCTAGTCATCTTTTTCGTTGATTTCATCGATTTAACCTCTTTTGCAAGCCCATATTCAATCTCTTGATTTAATTTTTCCTTTTATTAATTTTACTGATTGATTCGTCTTCTACGGCTTATCAAATTGTTACATATCATTTAAATCCCACCCCAAAATATTTTCTGATTCTAATATTTTTTTTAGTTTTTGGAGGTAATAATGATTTAGGTAAACAAGTCTTACTAATTAATCCATAGCTGAGGGGAAAAGGTTGATTCATACGTTTACCAATGTTACATGCGCGTAAATGAATATAATGAAGCCAACTGAAATATTAACATATTTATTCGCTTAAAATTTCCGGGACATTATGTATTACAATACCAAGTATTACCAAGTGGTCACCCATCTACGTACTAGCCAGGATCGAAGTTGCTTAAATTACGAGATCGTACAGGAACCGCTATTTTAACGTGCTGTGGCCGTAACAATTTTGTTTTCATTTGTACATTAGCTGATATGAAGTTTTCCCAATCCCAGCCGTCTTTCGTAGATACTGATTGAAATACTTAATTATTTATATAAGATATCTTATTTCCGTCACCTTTCCTCGTGAAAAAATAGCATTCGGTTTATTTGTTTCGTATATATTTCAGCGATGTCATTTCTATTTATCTTGTCTTATGTTCTGTAAACTTGCGATGAGGTTTCATCTTCCAATTTCACATAGACGTCGTCAGGAATTTCAATATCTTTTTTGTAACATATCTTAATACTTATTGCAATTTATAAGTAACGCCTATGCTTTTGTGATTTAAGATCTATTTCAGTATTATTTCGATACAGAATCTACCATCATTGATTACCTTTCAGTATGCTTGCTGTTTATGGTAAGTCATAGATTACTTGGGTTCATTGAGAAATGAAATTGCTTGGAATTTTTTAAAAATATATTATTGTGATTTTTTCTCGCTCGGTTTTCGTTTTCATTATCCATTCCAGAACTATTGCTTCTTTAATTCATTTGAGGAACTGACGTGCTAACCTGTCATGCATATTCGCGTAGCGCCTTAAACCAGGAGGTATTTTCACCAACACGTCCAGGAGCGATTCAACTGGCAATATTTTAAGCTGCTTTCTTTCAGCCTCTGATTCTTGGCTCCTTTTAATCTGTTTTCATTCCTATCCATCCAATCTGCATGTCATTTAGGTGCATTTCTGCTTTCACACTTATTTCCCCAGCATCGATTTGCTTCTCTATTTGTTGCGTCTCTCATTCTCTCCCTTTTTGCCGAAATTATTTGTTGACAAAGTCTTCGTTTATTTTATTATCTCAGCATAGTCGGCGTCCATGTTGACATCTGTTGACTTTTCCTTCTTTAACAAAGATGTTTTATTTAATAGCCCCTTGTTTAGTTGCTTATATTAATTGTTGAATTTACTTGTGTTGTCTGAGTTTACGCATTTTTCCATGTCCATTGTTTCGTCATATAATGTGTTCTCATCTTGAATCCTTTCCATTTCCTTATTTTTTTTAATTTGTTTTTCTACTCTTACGTTGCATAGGGCTTGCATAGGGTTTCTCTTTATCGTTTCTTGCTTGCGTTGTTTTTCCAACGCCAGGTTTATAAATAATTAAGGTTTCTGCATACACGAGCTGATTCAGTTGTCTTCCGTTGTTGGATAAGATATATGGTAGTATCGTATTCATTTTCTCAGTGACGCCTTTTCTTATTGTCTTGATAGTTTCACCGCAATCAAAAACAATATGGTATCTAATGTTTAGGCGCGTGGGTTTACGGAGTGTGAGAGAATATGAATAAAATAAAACAATAATAAGGAGATAGATAAATACAAGAACGGGAATTAAGAAAACAGACGATAACGATTTACATTGCATATAATTTTTTGAAAATGAAAGTCGACTAGAAAGAAAGAAGCCGGAAGAATCACAAGTGAGAAGTGCGAGAGAAATAGTTTTGGCATAGAACTTATTGTACTGTTTATTTCAAATGTAAAATGATGAAATCTTGCCGCTTATCTAGTAGTGCGCTTAAATTCTTCAAATCCGAAGTGAAGAATTAATTTCAACTCGGAACTAATTTCAACTTGAAATTTCAATAAATCTTTGAAGTCTTCAAACGAAATTAAAATTTAATTTATTGATTTTCTTAATTTTTGATCAATAACGGCTTCTTTTGATAGAGAGTTGTTTTACAAAAAAAGAAGCTAAGCAGTCTACTGTTATTGCTACAGAGAACATTGCATTATAATTGGACCAGATTTTAAAAAAATAAAAGTAAATAAAAATTATTCATTTGCAACAAAAAAGAATTAAAGTTGCAGACAAATTAGATTCTGAATTATCTACTAATGATTTTTAAGGCTAAATTTAAAAATTCAAAAAAGAATAAAACCAACTCATTGCATTTTGTTTAGGAATTCACGGAAATTGATAACTTTGATTTTAAATATAGCTGAAATTCGTTCCCAGGTGAAATTAATTCCGAGTTGAAATTAGTTCTGTCACTCTAAAAGCAAGTTTTGAAAGAGTAAGGTTCATCTAAACAATTGCCATGAAAATCGATTCACGCTCCTTCCCTTCGTTTGAACAGGATCAGAATGGTATCAATTGTTTCAACTATAGGAGATAATTTTCGGTTCCTTCCAAAATATTCTTATTCCAATTATCGTTTGCGCCGTGATGGCATATATGTCTTGCTTAGTATGAAATGATTTAAAGAGAAGTTACATTATTGTGGGAGGAAAGTGACTGAGTCGAAATGCTATGTCGGGATTAATAATATGACATAATCTTTAGATTTTATGAAGCATCTCCGAATCTACTGTAGAAGCACCTGCCATATGCTACAGCAAAATTCAATCCCTATATGAACGAATGGCAGATTTATTTATGTGTAAGATTGATTTCGCTTACGTAATATTTTCCAAGAGTTTTTGTTTGTAATGTAATTGTAGCTCCTGACTGACTTTTGTCAAGGTTTTCTTTGTTGTATCAATTTAATTATTTCTTCATCTAGTATTGTTGTAAAGTTGCCACAGTTCTTCAATTTCCTGATTTTCCTGTCTTTTATTTTCAGAAAATCTTTCTTAGTGAAACGCTTCTCCTCTATTCATTTTTCAAAATATTTCTATAAATTCATGAGCACAGCAACTGGCAATTTTTATTATTTGTTTTGCTCGCTCCACACATCTTCACTTTATTGTTTGAATCTTTGCCATTCTGTCATGTAATTTGACCAGCCATTGCTTACAGCATCATTAATTGGATAACTTCGAGTAACGACAAAGCGTCAGCAACGTTCTCCTTGACACTGTTGATGGCTACAAAGTAAAAAGAGATCCCAATATTCTAATGAACGTGCCACACACGGAATATTTTATCCATCATGTCAGGAACCGGTGGATCGAAAGTAAGGTGGGTTGTTCTTTACCTAACTGACGTCAGAAAATGAAAAACTGAAATCTGGAGGATGGGCATTAGAATAGCGGGTCATGCTTTCCAAATGCTGGACATTGGGCCAGAAAATCTTAACGAAAAAGCATCGTTATATATTAAACATATTGTACATCGTTATATATAAACATCGTTATAAGAAGTGCTTCAATTCTATATAATTACATTGTATGGAAATTAGATTTGAAACTTTTCCCACTTATGTAGAGATGATTTAACGAAACATGGGTGTGCTCCAATTGTGAATGTCATAGACAGACTGCCATCTTGTCTACAGTCACTATCTCACAGATGTGCTGTAGCTTTCCGCTGTCTTTCTGCAAACATTTTCATGGCATCTACTTTAACGAACTACTTTTACAGGTTACCAAAATGCATGAATTTAAACGTACTACTAGGTTGGCATCTAGGTCCCAGTCTTTGACTGTCAAAACGGTTAAATGTCACTGTCTCTTCTACTCCAACAGCTTTATATCTCACACTTCACGTCAGTGGAACTCTCTTCCTCCTACTCACTTCCGATATAGGTATATCCTTCAGATATTCAAATATAATGTCATTCAACATCTTCTGATGTATTAATGCTCATCCCCGCCCTTCTCTATATCCTTTCCACAAACATCCTCTTTACTCCGGTTCTCACATTCTGTAACCCATTGTATGGTAGTGGCACTCACAAATTGCTTGGTTTGATATGCTTCAAAAAGAAAAAAAATGAAAAAAAAAACAGGAAGTCTTAAGGAAAATAGAAATTTGATTAATAATTATAAACAGAAAAAGATAGTTACATTTCTGCGAAGGATAATAAGGAAAGATAGTTTGGAGAATTTAACACAAACAGGGCATATGTAATTTAGTCGTGGTGAATGGAAACATTGAGGAATCTAATTATATAAATTGTTATTAACTTACCTAACGTAATTGGATGGCAGAAGACAGACTCTGAGGAATGGTAAAAAGGTAGAAATTGCTACGAAGAATGAGAAGTTGTGGAAGCCATGATTGCCCTAGTTTCCGAAGGGACACACAGTGTAAAATAAGACATATTGATTGCACGGTTGGAAGTTATAATTCTAAAAAATGAGACTAATTATTTCTGTTCAGTGTGACAACTTTTTCTTTGATTTGAATTTCAGCTGCCATAAAAAAAAAAAATCAGTAGCAACAAGTCACATTGGGTATGTATACAGATGAAAATGTCGTAAAGATGAGAAAAATATCGGTACAAAGATTTATTTTGAAAATATATCCATTTCTGAAAGACAGCAGGGTTAGGATTAGGGTTAGGGTTAGATACGTTCAGTTGAAAGTCACAAGCCCCGAAAAAAAAAGAAGAAAAAAAACCCAGGATGTGTCCGGAAATTTTCATTGGACCTGGAATTGACAAATTAGCGAGAAAGAAAGTTTCCATAGTTAAAAAAGGATATTTTCTTACCTCCAAATTTCTTTTGTTGGTATCTGTCTATATTTCTGAGATGAGGTATTATGTACACTATTTACATTATTCGGACTATTGTCCTCATCTTTGCCACCATATTTATTACAACGTTTCAGCCTTTCAGTATATGTCTTTATTTCTGAGATGAGGTATTATGTACACTATTTACATTATTCGGACTATTGTCCTCATCTTTGCCACCATATTTATTACAATGTTTCAGCCTTTCAGTATCTGTCTTTATTTCTGAGATGAGGTATTATGTACACTATTTACATTATTCGGACTATTGTCCTCATCTTTGCCACCATATTTATTACAACGTTTCGGCCCTTCTACACACTCCAGACTTCTTCAGGTGGTTGGAATATCAAAATGAACCATTTATTTCGCTCACTGGGGTAGATTGTTCTAGTTCCACGTGCCATGTTTAATGGGTGTCAGTTATCAGTTATCTCATGTTAATTTCCCTCTCCAAGTTCTCCACTGCCTTAACCGGGTATTGAACTCACACTCTTTGGGTCCTCTCACTGGATTTAACCAACGCCTCTATCTACTATGGCATATGTCC